CCAGAAGTCTAGAAGATATGCAAGTTCAGGGTGAACTCAGCTGTGAGAAATAAGGGAGTTAGGGCAAGATGTTGATCCTTTCTCCAAGCACAGGGAAGTGGGTTAATGGGGTGGGCATAGGGGCTGTGGGGTCCATCTCTTACCTGGAGAAGCCAGGGTGCCCAATCCCAGGAGTTTACAGATGCTAACAGCAGTGGGGGAAAGAATATCACCATAATAATAAGCAGGGTTTGAGGTAGATTTTAGTAGATTTAGTATAAAGTTTTTGGAATCCAACATCTGAGATGAGAGCGGGTAAGGACACATCAGTCAGATTTGAGGTGGTTGTTGGTTGGGCTGGGTGTTACATGTTTGTGCATTAACCCATGCATTAAAGGGGCTAGCTGGCAATGTGTAAAGAACCAGGGATGGATTTCCCAGGGAAACACTTCAGGGCTTCGCTGCCAGTAGGGATACAGGAATGCATTCAGGTAACAGCTAGGGATGGTTTTAGCTCCAAGGGTATCAGATAGCCAGGCCTGTCCCAGGAACTCTGGGCTAAGGCAGCAAGGCCAATCCTGGTAACACCTATATGGATAGTAACGGGGTTCCTATTCCACTGCCAGGCTTGAAGCAGGGGTTGGGTCTTCATGACCCAAGGCTGGTGAGATCTTTGCTCACCTTCTTACTTTTCTCAGAAGTTAAACTCAAATTTCTGAGCTCATGTTTCCCACTGCTAGAGGACTTTCCCATTTCATTTACTGGCTTTTGCTTGCCAGTGTACTAGAATAAATTCTTCCTACAATATGGGCCATGCTCTACCTTCCAGCCCCAACACCATGGCAAAAGCAGCCAGCTGGGAGACAGAACACATGGCTGAAAATGAAGCAATAAGTGGATGAGTTCTATTCTTTCCAAAATAATTAAAAGTGAATGGTCAAATTTCATCAAGTGTGGAATATTTGGAAATAGCCTTTCCAAGGGGGGAAAAAAATCCCCAAACAACTCTTGAATGTGAGGATTATCAAGGAAGATGGTGCTATTGGGAAGGGATTGTTAAAAGCAGGCAAGAGTTTTTTTCTCATGTAGGCTAGAAACTGATCATGAGATTATTTGCCAGAGAATGATTTTCTAAATGTTTTTTGAAATAGCAGGGTGGCAGCGTCATTTGAACAGCTGTAATTTCAAAGTTTCCTCAGTTTTTTTTTCAACGTTTATTTATTTTTGGGACAGAGAGAGACAGAGCATGAACGGGGGAGGGGCAGAGAGAGAGGGAGACACAGAATCTGAAACAGGCTCCAGGCTCGGAGCCATCAGCCCAGAGCCTGACGCGGGGCTCGAACTCACGGACCGCGAGATCGTGCCCTGGCTGAAGTCGGACGCTTAACCGACTGCGCCACCCAGGTGTCCCTCAAAGTTTCCTCATTTTGAAGGATAGTACTCAATTTCAACGTACAACACAATCTGACATGTCCACATCAAAACGTTCTAATTTCATTACGACACCTTCTATGTAGAACCTAATTGTTTAAATTTTAGAAAAATCAGTGAATATTTTAGGTGGATGCTTAACATCAAGTTCCTGTTATTCATCGGTGTTTGATAAACGTTCCCACATGCTCTTCACTCTGTTTATTTTCTAGACTATCTGTACTTTGTAGGCAGCAGGTAATTAAAGTGGCAATGGAGTGCCATCTACCGGGGAAAGAGAACAATAGATTTAAAAAAAGACTTGATGGGGGTCTCATTGCAGAGGAATGAATACTTAGAAAAAGAGAACTTTATAAATATGTAAAGGCAAACATGGCAAGATTTACATTTTGCTTAATCTGGAATTTTTTTTTTTGAACTCTCCTGTACTTCCTTTAATAAGATACTGTGTTTTACATTAGATCAAACGTTAGTTGTCAGGAGAAGCCCTAAGTCTATACTTAAAATGGTAAACCTTTGTCAAACAGCTGACCTTTGCAATCACTTAGTCCAATGTCCTCATGTTATAGATGAGAAGCAGGGGTTCAGAGAGAAGGGATGCCTCCATGCTCCCCAGCTAGGGAATGGCAGAGCTCTAGGTCCTTCCTTATCCAGATGGTCCGCTTAGATGAGTGGCCATTTGGTTATACAGTATGATTGAAGGGATGTCCAGAAGTTATCCAGGGCCCAAACCATCATCTCTGTTGCTGGCTAGGCAGACTGTAAGAAAGTCTCATGATTAGAGTTGCTCCTTTGAGTGGAAGCTGGTGCTTCTTCTTTTGTACTATGTTTCCATAAACACCTTCACACACACAGGGTTTTTCTAATTAGCTGTTATTTTATTTTATTATTATTATTTATTAGCTGTTTATTTTAGCTGCTTATTTAGAACATAACCAGCAGAGGGGTGCCTGGGTGGCTCAGTCAGTTAAGCGTCCAACTCTTGACTTTGGCTCAGGTCATATCTCACAGTTCGTGGGTTCCAGCCCTGCATCAGGGCTTGGATTCTTGGGATTCTCCCTCCCTCTCCTCTCTGTGTTCCATCCTTCCCAAAATAAATAAATAAACTTTAAAAAAGAAGACACTTACAAAAGACAGAAATGAGTGCTTGAAGCCAGAGATGGGAGGCAAAACCGGTGTTATGCAGGCTTTAATTCCTATGAGTTTGTAAGAAGAGCTCGGGGCAACAATAACCATAAAATTACTTTCAGAGTTAAGTCCTGCAACAGGTGGGGGCATGTGTGGGTTCTGATATGTGGAGGGATTCTTGTGTGCTGGCCAATAATACACACAAAATCAGAGCTCCTCACTTCTGTTCATCTTCATTGTTTATAGAACAAAAAATGATCTTTGGGCTGAAAATCATAGAACAAACATTGATAAAAGGAAAACGAAGTCCAGACTGGAGAAAATGTATGTCAGAGAGTAGCAGAAACACATCTGAATGCTTCCTGCATTCAGTGTTTTACCTGCATGATCTCATTTAATTTGTCCACTAACACTACAGCTTCAGGCACTATCTTATTTAGTTAGATACTATGAGCCGTGCACTTAGGGATGCAAAGCTGATTTGTTGAAGTTCTGTGTCATTAGTAGGAGGGGACAGGGCATCATTTACATCCTGGTCTCCAGATCTGCAGCCCCAGAGTTGAGCTGCTCAATGACTGCCTGTGGAGCTCCCCAGGGAGGTCAGGTCTCCTGACGCAGACACAGGACATCCCAGCTTCTGCAAGAACCTGCAGAGGTACTGTGCATCATGGTGAGCAGCTGGAGATCCAAGGATGGGAAAATGGGTTTTTGTTTTTAAACTTGTTTTTTTTTTCCTAAAAATACAGTAATGGATTCTATAAACTTCAAAGTAGTGTGCTTTATGTGATTCTGAGTGAAATCCTAAGATAGACTACTAAAGGATTATTTTAAACACCTGGGAAAGGATGCCACTGATCCAGGCACTCAGCAAGCACTGTTAACACAGTCATTTAGAAAATACTGGAATCCTGGGGCACCTGGGTGGCTCAGTCAGTTAAGTGTCCGACTTTGGCTCAGGTCATGATCTCATGGTTTGTGGGTTTGAGCTCTGCATAGGGCTCTGTGCTGACAGCTCAGAGCCTGGAGCCTGCTTCGGATTCTGTGTCTCCTTCTCTCCTCTGCCCCTCCTCCTCCCCTGCTCATGCTTTGTCTCTCTCTGTCTCTCAAAAATAAATAAATGTTAAAAAAATTTATTTTTATTTATTTATTTTTTAACATTTATTTATTTTTGAGACAGAGAGAGACAGAGCATGAACGGGGGAGGGTCAGAGAGAGGGAGACACAGAATCTGAAACAGGCTCCAGGCTCTGAGCTGTCAGCACAGAGCCCGATGCGGGGCTCGAACTCACGGACCGCGAGATCATGACCTGAGCTGAAGTAGGCCGCCCAACCGACTGAGCCACTCAGGCGCCCCTAAAAAATGTTTTTAAAAACGAGAAAATACTGGAGTCCTATCCTGTGCCTGTTGCTTGGCAGACCCCCCCCCCCCACCGATAAACAGAGGCCTCCCCTCAAATTAGTGATGACCAGCAGGGGAGACAGGCCCACAGATGACTGCAATGCTGTGGAAACACCAGGTAGGTGCGAGCACATGAGCACAGCTGTGAGGGGGGCCCAGGGAAGCACACAAACCAGACTAAGAGAAAGGGACAGAGAAATTTCCTGGGGGGGGGGGGTTGAATTTCTTTTCCTTTCATTAAAAAGGTTTTTTGAGTTAAATTTCTGTTAAATTTTTAGGTTGAATTATATGAACATATGGAATTGCCTTTTTAAAAAGCCATAAATGTCCAAATACTGGCAATTTCATATGTTCCAACCTAACCCACATCTTAAAAGTCCAACAGCAGCACTAACAACTCTTGATATCAAAAGACAGGAGTTCTCTCTCTCCATCTCCTCATCCCAGACTTTCCTCCCCAACACTGTCTTGTTCAACACTTGGAGCTGTTTTAGCTATTTTTTGGGCTACTTATTGCCACCTAATATGTTTTGTTGTCATTTCTTGACTTGCCATTTTAACACTGTATGTATTGAATTTCTATTATAAAGATGTGGATTTAGGGGCCCTTGGATGCCTCAGACCGCTGAGTGTCTAACTTCGGCTCAGGTCATGATCTGATAGTTGGTGAGTTTGAGCCCCTTATCAGGCTCTCTGCTGTCAGCACAGAGCCCACTTAAGATCCTAGGTCGCCCTCTCTCTCTGCCCCTCCCTCACTTGGCCTCTTGCTCTGTCTCTCAAAAATAAATATAAACATTAAAAAATTATTTTTTAAAAAAGATGGGGATTTAGCTGTCTTAATGTCTTCACTAAAATAAACACCTGCAGTCCCTCACACTTCTTACATTGCTCTATTATAATTTCTGGTGAAATTGCTATGTCGGTATTGTTAGTGCGGGGGGGGGGGCGCCCGCGGGGGGCGGGGAGCCTGTTCTCTGCTCCTAATGTTTTCTTCAATGAGGTGGGATTTCCCCTACATATTTCTGTGTTCTTTATTCCCCTTTATTCGGTTATTACTTTGCTTCTCTCTAGGGGAGGGGCAGATTCCTCTGGGTGGTAGACTTGGATCAGCCCTGTATCCTTCTGCCTGCTGGAAGCTGTTTGTTGCCAAGGAGCAACTTTTCCCTGGAGCACTTCCCTGTCTAGGTGGGAAAATCTGCCTAATTCTAAGGTTCAAAGCCCATTTGGCTCTCAAAACTAAACTACATTAGCCAAATAAACCTTTGTCATGAAGAAGAAAAACAAAGTGATATTTTGTCCTTCATCTGAATTCTTTACTTTTTTTTTTTAAATCAAATTATTTAAAACCTGGGTGAAGAAGAGGAAAATGATTTATGAGGTTGTTTGGAAGGACCCTACCGTTACAATTATGTTTCTCTAAATTTACCCCTCTTCTCCTCTAGATCCCTTTGTTTTCTGTAGCGCTATTAACTGGCTCTGTTTATTTATTTAGCTCATCCCTAAAGGACTGAAGGCTGAAGACCCTCTATCAAGTCATCTCAAGTAATCTCTTGCACAGCCACCCTCCTCCACACCCCTCTGACCTTTCACCCTTTTCTAACTTTGGGCCTCCTCCTGTCCCTGTTCCTGTTTGTCAAGTAGCTATCTTCTCTCTCCTCTCTGGACCAAGAGCTCAGCTCCCCTTCACTAACATCCTGGGTATTTTGCTTGCTTCTCTCTGATGTTGAATCCCCATTTTTTAGATGACATGACTTTCTTTTTCTTGGTCTACATTCTACCTTCACGCGTAACTAATAATTTTGCTAAGTATGGAATTCTGTGTCAGACAGAATTTTCCTTAGACTTTGAAGGCACTGTTCCATTGTCTTCCATAATCCTAGAGTTATACAATTTCACAGTGATGGATACCTGGTAGCTCCTTTCAATTTAGAAACACATTCTTTTATGTTCTGGGATGTTTTCATGCATTATTTCTTTTATATTTATATTCTTCTCTCCATTTTCTTTGATCTCATTTTCCACCCACCTATCCATAGAACTTCTATTCTGATGTTTGACCATCTGGATTGATCCTCCAATGTTCTTGTCTTTTTTCTTATTTTTCCATCTCTATGCCATCTTGTTTTATTTTCTGTGAGATTTCTAGATTTTACCTTTTAATATTGACATTGTATTCAATTCTCCTGTTTTCATTTGACCATCTCACTCCTCCCTATTCTTGGTCTTAGATCCCCAAGTCCTGAGCCCAGAGTCTGAGACCTGCCACTTCTGCAGAAAGGAAACCACTTATTGGTTCTCATCAGAAGAAAAAAAAATTGTAAGTATGCAAGGTGATGGATGTTAACTAGACTTATTGTTATTATTTCACAATGTATAAAAATATGGAATCATTATGTTGTGTACCTGAAACTAATCTAATGTTGTGTGTCACACCTCAATTTTAAAAAATTAAAAATAAAAATGGGGCACCTGGGTAGCTCAGCCGGTTGTGTGTCTGACTTCAGGTCAGGTCATGATCTCCCAGTTTGTGGGTTTGAGTCCCACGTCAGGCTCTGTGCTGACAGCTCAGAGCCTGGAACATGCTTCGAATTCGTGTTTCGCTCTCTCTGCCCCTCCCCCACTCACTCTGGCTCTCTTTGTCTCTCAAAAATGAATCAACATTAAACAAATTAAAAAATTAAAAAAATATAAAAAGAGGAAACCATCTGTCTCTCTTGAGCAAAGTCAGCAGAGGGGGGATGGGAGTGGACTGTGTAGCCTAGCTTCATGGGTTTAGGAAGTGGATTTAATTCCCCCCTATGTAACCTTTCAACCAGCACTCCAGTTTCCAGCCTTATTCCATATCCTGGTCTTCAAAATTAATTTATGCCTCCAATTTCTTCAGAATTAACTGATGCCTCCAATTTCTGAGGCTTTCTGGAGGTTTCGGGAGTGAAAGTATTCCATCTTGTCTTTTCCTACATGTAGGCTTGGTCTTCAGCTTTCCTCAGTCTGCTAGGATAAGGTGACACTAAGGCCTCTAGTTTCCAGCATCCAAAATTGTGTTGACATCTCCCCTTTGATGTGCTCTCTTTTCTCATAGTATTTGTCCACATGGGATTATGTCTTTTTTTTTAAATCTTTTATCACCATTTCATTGGAATTTGGGGGAGGGATAAAAGAGTGTGCTTAATATTACATATTTAAAGAGAATGCTCCCTGTTCCTCCTCTTCCTTCACTCCATCACTTTTTTTTTTTTTTAAATGTTTTTTTTTTTCAACGTTTATTTATTTTTTGGGGGACAGAGAGAGACAGAGCATGAACGGGGGAGGGGCAGAGAGAGAGGGAGACACAGAATCGGAAACAGGCTCCAGGCTCCGAGCCATCAGCCTAGAGCCTGACGCGGGGCTGGAACTCACGGACCGCGAGATCGTGACCTGGCTGAAGTCGGACACTTAACCGACTGCGCCACCCAGGCGCCCCATTCACTCCATCACTTTTTACAACTTTATTAGTTGTTACAACTTTATTAAGGTATAATTCACATATCATGTAACTCACTCATTTACAGTTTGCAATACAGTTGGTTTTAGTATAGTCACAGAGTTGTGCAACCAACACCACAATCAATTTTAGAATGTTTTTGTCAACCCCAAAAGAAAACCTGTACCCATTGGCAACCACTGCTCACTTCCCCTCCCCCCCCAATCCCTCCAGCCCTAGACAACCGTGAATCTACTTACTATATCTATGGATTTGCTAATCCAAGCATTTCATATGATGGAATCAGACAAATACGCAGTCTTTTGTGACTGGCTTCTATCACTTAGCATGAAGTTTCCATGATTCATCCATGTTGTAACAGGTCTCAGTATTTCATTTCTTTTTATTAATGAATGTTATTCCATTATAATATTGGAATGGGATAATCCATTTTCCAATAATATTAATATCATCCATCTGGATATACCACATTGTATCCATTGATATAACATTGATGGAGATTTGGGTGGTTTCCATTTTTTGGCTATTAAGAATAATGCAGCTAATAAACATTTGTGTCCAAGTTTGCGTATGAATACATGCTTTCATTTCTCTTGAGTATATACCTATACCTGGAATTGCTGGGTAATTATATTTAATCTTTTGAGAAACTGCCAGACTCGTTTCCAAAGTGACTGCACTATTTTATATTCCTAGCAGTAGTGCATGAGGGTTCCACATACTCTGCATCCTCAGCAACATTTGTTATTGTCTATCTTTTCCATTTTGGCCGTCCTCATGGATGTGAAGTAATATCTCATTGTGGTTTTCATTTTCTTTTTCCTGGTAGATAATGATATCAAGAATCCTTCCATGTGCCTGTGAGTCATTTTGTGTGTCTTCCTTGGAGAAATGTCCATTCAAATATGTTATCCATTTTTAAATTGGACTACTTGTTTTTAAAATTATTGGGTTGTGATTACATATATATATATACATATATATATATATACATGCATGTGATATATATATGCATGTATATATATGCATGTGATATATATATATACATATATATGTATATATATATATATATGCATGTGATATATATATATATATATATATATATATGTGCATGCATGTGTAAAATGCATTCTAGTGCCCTCTTCATTATATAATTTGCAAATTTTCTTCCATTCAGTGTGTTGTCTTTTCATTTTCTTGATGGAGTACTTTTGCAATACCAAATATGTCCAGGCTACCTATTTTTTCTTTGGCTATTTGTGCTTTTGGTGTGATAGGATGAGTTATGAAGTGTTTCCTTCTATTCTTTTTTTTAAATGTTTTTATTTAGTTTTGAAAGACAGAGAGACAGAGCATGAGTGAGTGGGGGAGGGGCAGAGAGAGAGGGAGACACAGAATCCAAAGCAGGCTCCAGGCTCTGAACTGTCACCACAGAGCCCAACGCGGGGATCGAACCCACAAACTGCGAGATCTTGACCTGAGCTGAAGTCGACACTTAGCCAACTGAGCCACCCAGTGCCCCGTTCCCTTCTATTCTTTGGAAGAAACTGTAATAAGTTGGGATTAATTCTTCCTTGTTCTTTTTAAAAAATTTTTATTTATGGGGCGCCTGGGTGGCGCAGTCGGTTAAGCGTCCGACTTCAGCCAGGTCACGATCTCGCGGTCCGGGAGTTGGAGCCCCGCGTCAGGCTCTGGGCTGATGGCTCAGAGCCTGGAGCCTGTTTCCGATTCTGTGTCTTCCTCTCTCTCTGCCCCTCCCCCGTTCATGCTCTGTCTCTCTCTGTCCCAAAAATAAATAAACGTTGAAAAAAAAATTAAAAAAAAATTTTATTTAAATTCTTGTTAGTTAATGTACAGTATAATATTAGTTTCAGGTGTACAATATAGTGATTCAATACCTCCATACAACACTCAGTGCTCATCACAAGTGCACTCCTTAATTTCCATCACCTATTTAACCCATTCTCCCACTGACATCTGTCTGGTTACCATCAGTTTGTTCTCTGTAGTTAGAGTTCTTGGTTTATCTCTCTCTTTTTTGCCATCGTTCATTTGTTTTGTTTCTTATATACCACATATGAATGAAATCATATGGTATTTGTCTTTCTCTGGCTCATATATTTCACTTAGCATAATTCTCTCTATCTCTGTCCATGTCATCACAAATGGCAAGATTACACATTTTTTGGCCGAGTAATATTCCATTGTATATATATATATATATACCACATCTTCCTTATCCATTCATCTCTTGATGAACACTTAGGTTATTTCCATAATTTGGCTATTGTAGATAGTACTGCTAAAATGTCAAGATGCATGTATCCCTTTGAATTAGTATTTTTGTATTCTTTGGGAATACCTCGTAGTGCAATTGCTGTGTCATAGGGTAGTTCTATTTTCAACTTTTTGAGGAATCTCCATACTGTTTTTTCAGAGTGGCTGCACCAGTTTGCATTCCCACCAACAGTGTAAGAGATTTCTCCTTTCTCCATATCCTTACCAATACTTGTTGTTTCTTGTGCTTTTGATTTTAGCCATAGTGACAGGTGTGAAGTAATACCTCATTGTAGTTTTGATTTGTATTTCCCTGATGATGACTGATGTTGAGCACAAACACCTTTTCATGTGTCTATTGGCCATCTGTATGTATTCTTTGGAAAAATGTCTGTTCATGTCTTCTGCCCATTCTTAATTGGATTATTCATCTTTTGAGTATGGACTTTTATAAATTCTTTATATATTACATACTAACCCTTTATCAGGTATGCCATTGCAAATATATTCTTCCATTCTGTAGGTTGCCTTTTTGTTTTGTGATTGTTTCCTTCACTGTGCAGAGGCTTTTAATTTTGATGAAGTCCCATTAATTTATTTTTGCTTTGGTTTCCCTTATCTCAGGAAACATATCTAGAAGGAAGTTGCTACAACCAATATCAAAGAGATTACTGCCCGTATTCTCCTCTAGGGTTTTTGTGGTCTCAGGTCTTTAATTAATTTTGAATTTATTTTTTTGTTTTTACCAAACACAAAAGTGGTCCAGTTTCTCTTTTGCATGTTTCTGTCCAGTTTTCCCAACACCATTTGTTGAAGAGATGGTCTTTCCCGTTGGATATTCTTTCCTGCTTTGCTGAAGATTAATTGACCATACAGTTGTGGGTTCATTTCTGGCAATTCTGTTCTACTGATGAATGTGTCTATTTCTGTGCCAATATCCTATTGTTTTGATCACTTCTTTAATTGTTTTGAAAAAATTCACCAGTGAAGACATGCTGGCTTGCACTGTTCTTTGTGGGTAGTTTTACAATTACTAATTCAATCTGCTTATTATAAGTCTCTTTAGATTTTCCATTTCTCTTTGGGTTAATTTCAGTAGTTTGTGTCTTTCTAGGAAGTTTTCCATTTCATCTCCTTCCATTTATGTCTATTTTTCCGAGACATCAGGAGTAGAAAAATCTAGGTCAAGGTAATATGGTGGTGTGTCTGGGCTTCAGTATTCTGTATGGGATTGTGCAGGTTGTAATGATTTGAGCTATCTTCTTCTAAGTTATGTGGTGCACAAGTTGTGGGCAAACATGGTGGAGATCTTAAATAGCAGATGTGTTAAATGTGCCATCTTTGGAGACAGACTATCTGGGTTTGAATCCTTTTTCTACCACTTCCCAGAGGCTTTGGGCAAATTACTTAATCTAATTAATTAATAGTTTTCTTCTATTTGGGGCACCTGGGTGGCTCAGATGATTAAGCGGCTGACTTTGGCTCAGGTCATGGTCTCACAGTTCCCTGAGTTCGAGCCCCACATTGGGCTCTGTGCTGACAGCTTAGAACCTGGA